CCTGGCGCCGCCGGTAGCCGGGCCCTGCCCACCTCTCCGCGCCCGGTGCCTGTGGAGCAGTCCGCGGCACTAGGGCGCTTTAAGAAAGGGCGCGCACGCATCGATGTGTTTGCGTGTGATGTGAGGACATCGGTGTGGAGGTGTCGTGTCCTTGAAAGTGTGTGTTCTTTGGTTTGAGCGCTTCCAAGTGTCCTACAAAGGTGCCGCCGTGTGTCTGGGTATGTAGTGTGTGTGATACCGGGATACTTCTTGGCGTGATTCTTTTGTGGGGCCGATTGTTTTCTCAGTGACACTGTGTGTATATTTGTGAATCTTTATATGTGTGGTGGCATGTCCTATGGGCGTGTCTCTCCCTCTTCCCTCTCTGTCTCTCTCTTTCTGTGTGTGTGTGTGTGTCTGTGTGTGTGTGTGTGTGTGTGTCTGTGTGTGATTTCGATTTTGCTTGAGAGGGAGTGGTCTTCGCATCTCCAGGTCCACATTCCCCTAGGGGTTTTGTTGGACCAAGTGCCTGGGATTTCGTATGGATGTCCCTGAGGCTATTTCTCCGTTTCTTTGTGGAGCTGTGTCATCGTGAGGAGAGGAGCCATGATGTCTCTCTGCTGCATTGTGTCTTTAAGGATGGTGCATGTCCTTGCACCTGGGTGGCTTGGCGAGTGTAACTGCTGGAGCAGCTACGGATGTGAATGTGTGCAGGTCCTTGCATGTGGCTGTGGCAGTGTTGGGTTGCATTTGTGACATCTCCAGGTCTGTCAGTCTTCATGAGTGTGTGTGAGGCTGTGATTGCTGGTGAGTGTGATACTCCAGGGTGACTGAGGAGTGGGGGGCGCCAAGCAAGGGCACTTGCAGAGGCATCCTCCTCTAGTTCTTCAATACTGTCTGTGTCAAACATGGGAATTTACAAAAATAGCTACTTTATATCCGTGTAAGAATGTGTTTAATATAAATGTACAATATAAATGATGACAAAATAACTCCCCCGTGTACAATCACTAAGCTGAATAAATAGAGCCTAAGAGTTAGAAGCCCTTGTGTGCCCCTCCCCATGGCAGCCCCTACGCCCCCATAGTCCTTATTCTGTATCTTCTGTTCATTAATCCCTTACTTTTGTTTGTAGCTTATCACATATGTGTAGCTCTCAAAACAATCCATTGTTTAGTTTTTCCTGCTTTTGAACATCAAAATGGAATCATACTGGGTGACTGGTTCCTTGCAGTCACTAGGGGTCACTAGGAAGTCCTCAGGGTGTCTGGTAGTCTCAGGCAGTCTGTAGTGAAATTCTGGAAAAAAAAATTCTTGGCTTTTTTTTTTTTTTTTTTTTGACTCTACTTTGGTCCGGAGATTCATCCAAGTCTATGCATGTGGCTATAATTCATTTATTTTTATTGCTGCATGATATCATATCCTATGAGGACGTCATGATTTATGATTTATAAATGCATTCTCAGTTTGTCAGTGGACATTGGGTTGTTTCCAGGCTTTTCTCCTCCCCCCCCTTAAGCTATTATGAACAGTGCTGCCGCCATCTTTCATGAACTTGTGACCAGTAGTATATGTGCCAAAGCTACTCTGGGGTGTAACATCCCAGGAGTGGGTCATAAGATGTATGCGTTTTTTTAGAGGTTGTTAAGCCGCTCTTCAAAATTACTTATCCAGTTTAATTCTCAACAGCATAGTATGAGAGTTCCCATTTTTCTGCATTCATATCAACACTTTATATTATCATACTTTCTGACTTGGGTCAATCTTTTGATTATATTATGCATAGTATCTCACTGGCATTTTAATTTGCTTTCCCCTGATTACTAATGAGGTTTTTAATTTAATTTTCTGTTTCATAGAGACAGGGTCTTCCTCTGTCATGCAGGCTGGAGTACAGTGGTGTGATCTGAGCTCACTGTGACCTTGAGTTCCTGGAGTCAGGGGATCCTCCCACCTCATCTTCCCAAGTAGCTGGGACTATTTTGTTTTATTATTTGTAGAGATAGGTCTTGCTATGTTGACTAGGCTGGTCTCAAACTCTTGGCCTCAAGTGATCTTCCTGCCTTGGCCTCCCAAAGTGCTGGGATGACAGGCATGAACCACTACACCTGGCACAATTTTTCATATGTTTAGTAATCCTTTTTGTGAAATAGGTGATCATGTATTTTTTCTATTTCTGTATGAGTTTGTTTTTCTCTTACCACTTTTTAGGAATTCTCTGTATCTTCTCTGTACTACTCTTTTATTGACTATTTGTGTTGCCGGCATCGCTCCTTTTAAACATATTTCTGTATGGCCTGTATGTTTCTTTTCCGAACCTTCATGGTCATTTTTTTTTCTTTTTCTTTGTTCTTTTTTGCATGCACTTAGGGCATACATGGTCATTTTTATCTTTTATTCCTTGCTTAGAATATTGGTACCCTCTTTTAGTTCTTTAAACTTGTGGAAATGGTTTCAAAACTGTTTGAACTGAAAATTTGTCATTGGATAATTTATTCTACAGATGAACTTGTACACATGCTAAATGATATATGAATAAGTTTATTCATATAGTTCCTATTGTCCACAATATTAATATGGAAAAATCTGTAACTGTCATATCTACCATCACCACTTCATATGAAGAAACCCGGTCTCCAGGAGTGAGGATGGGGAGGGAGGAATTATGAGCGTCACCAAGGGATCACTGGCACGCTGTGGTGTGAGGATGGGGAGGTGTCTGGGGATCTTTGGTGGTCTTAAGTGTGTCTGGAGATATTTGGGGGTTTCTAGTGGCCTTAGGGGTGTCCGCTTTTGGTGGCATCTGGGATGTTTGAGGTCCACGGAGATTCCCGGGCTGGGAGTCCCTGGCTCGACAGACACTGACAACCTCTTTTCCCCCACCTCATTTTCCCCGCAGGAGCCCCGCGGCTTAAGCGCAGCGTCGCCGCCCCTGGCTGAGACTGGCACTCCCCGCCGCTTCCGGCGGTCAGTGCCCCGAGGCGAGGCGGCGGGGGCGGTGCAGGAGCTGGCGAGGGCGCTGGCGCATCTGCTGGAGGCCGAACGGCAAGAGCGGGCGCGGGCGGAGGCGCAGGAGGCTGAGGATCAGCAGGCGCGCGTCCTGGCGCAGATGCTGCGCGTCTGGGGCGCCCCCCGCAACTCTGACCCGACTCTGGGCCTGGACGACGACCCTGACGCGCCGGCAGCGCAGCTCGCCCGCGCCCTGCTCCGCGCCCGCCTTGACCCTGCGGCCCTCGCAGCCCAGCTTGTCCCGGCGCCCGTCCCCGCCGCGGCGCTCCGATCCCGGCCGCCGGTCTACGACGACGGCCCCGCGGGCCAGGATGCCGAGGACGCCGGCGACGAGACACCCGACGTGGACCCTGAGCTGCTGAGGTGCCCGGCAGGGGTTGGGAAGGGATCGGGCGCCTGCGTCCGAGGAGGACGAGGGCGAGGAACTGGGACGCCTGCATCCCTCGTGGAGTGCGAACCCCTAAGTCCTGGGGCCCTAGGAGTGAGGTCCTGGCTCCATGGAGTAGGGGCAAGGATGCCTGGCTCTGGGGGAGGGGACGGGTAACGCCCCACAGCGGACACAGCCTCACTGCATTGCGCTCGGCCCTGCAGGTACTTGCTGGGACGGATTCTTGCAGGTAGCCCGGACTCCGAGGGGGTGGCAGCCCCGCGCCGCTTCCGCCGCGCTGCTGACCAGGATGTGGGCTCCGAGGTACCCCCTGAGGGCGTTCTGGGGGCGCTGCTGCGCGTGAAACGCCTAGAGACCCCGGCGCCCCAGATGCCTGCACGCCGCCTCTTGCCACCGTGAGCATAGCCCGGATCCCGTCCACCGTGGGACCTAGGAGTGCCCCCGCCATCCCACCACCTGCACTGCTCCCCGCCAGCACGTTCAGAGCAACTTTCCCCGGCCAGCCAGCCCTCCCACCCGAGGATCCCTACCCACTGGCCCCACAATAAACATGATCTGAAGCAGCTCTGTGCTTGTCTGTGTTAGTGGCAGTTTCTAGGGGCCAGTGGTTGCCGAAGTGGTGGTGGCCCTTTGACTAGGGGAGAGGAGCCCCTACCCTGGGTCCTGCACTTAAGAACCATCACCTGCTCAGTCTATGCCTCTCCTAGGGGTGGAGGGGAAGGCATCCACATGGACAACGGCAGTGCCCACGCAGATCTTGTGTCCCCCTTTTAGACTTCACTTGGGTATGGGGATCCCAGGCTTTGAAACTGCTTTCAGGGCCTGCACCATCATCTTCCAAGGGTCCATCCTCCTGAGGGCCAAGGGGTGGCTTGTGTCACATGAGTAGAGCTTGAGGTGCTGGCTGAGATGTCGCAGGCACACATGAGCACCTTCTGATGAGGGGGAGAGAAAGGGAGGGGGCTGAGCACTGGGGGATCGGGAGGTCCCCATATAGGCACACTCTGGCAGACAGGCACATTCTGGTGGGGAACTCTGAGAAGGCTGAGAAATTGGAGCCTGAGCATCCAGATCACTAACAGTGTATTTGCCAAAGTGGGAGGATAGGGTGTATTTCATTTACTTTGTAAAACTTGACTAGTAATGTCTAAATGTTCACATATTTAGTCATATAGTATAGAGGCCTACCTGTACTCTTGCCCAGGCCCTGGAGATACTGAGAGTTGCTATGGTGGCAGTGGATTTATGGCCATGGGCTTTGCACTGGCCAGTCCCTCTGCCCATGGTTATCTCCAAGTTTTTGTCCAGATGTCATCTACTCTCAAGAAGGCTTTACTTGACCTGTCACCCTATTCCTTCACCTGCCTTTAATACATAGCCTCTATCACTGTCTAGCACGATATCATATCTATAAGGTCAGGTTTTTAAGTGTCTTGTTTGCCTCTACCTCCTTTGTATCCAAAGTATCACACAGTGGGCTCCCCCTGAATTTCTTGAATGAAAGAATTCTCACAACTCAAGTAACATTCTACCCAGTCTCACTCCCACCCACGTAACACTTGGAACGGAGGCAGCTTTGAAACCCAAAACACCATTTATTTAATTTTGCACAAAATCTCTCAACTTGACATAACAAAAGCAACACTAGGTACTCCTGTGTTACCAAAAAGCCCCTCACCAAGTGAAAACAAGAGAGGTGTCCATCTTTCCCTAGTATATGGAATGTGTCCCTCAAAGCTAGTTGCTTCAGGAGTCTCAAGTCAAGCGAACAATCACCCTGGCCTGGGGAGGGTCTACATTTCTTGGCCAAGACCTTCAGGCCACAGTGCAGCCACAGTGGCAGGTGGCCTTCTGGTGCCGGGTCTTCTCCACACAGGACCTTGCCCTTGCCTCTTTCGCCATGGCCTCCTTGACTCTCTGGATCTCATGGACCAGCAGTGAAAAGGCCTCCTCCACACCTTGCCGTGTTTTGGCTGAGGTCTCCACAAAGTGGGCACCCCAGCTGTGTGCGAGGGCTGCGGCAGCAGCATGAGCATCTCCAGCGGTGGTCACAAGGTCACACTTGTTGCCTACGAGGACAAGGGGCTGGGCAGGGTGAGGGCCCCAGGCAGCCCATATCTGCTGTAGCTGGATCAGAGACGAGGGGTCATCAAGAGCAAAGACGCCCAGCACACCATCACCGACAGCCAGGCACTGGTCACGCAGGGCTCTATGGACGGTCTGCCCTGCTGTGTCCAGCACGTTCAGAATGCAGTCCCCGCTGTCCAGGGCCAACTCCTTCCAGTAGGAATCCTGGATGGTGGGATCGTGGTCCTCCACGAAGCACTGGTGGTTCAGCTGGATGGTCAGCGCACTCTTGCCCACGCCACTTGCGCCCACCACCACTGCCTTGTACTCAGGCAGCTGCCTGCCAACGTCCCTGCAGCGTGCCTGACCCCAGTGGTTTTCCCCCTGGAGAGTAGGGCTCCATGTGGCCAGGCCCAGGTCGAAAGTGCCAGACTTTGTTGGCAGCTCCATGCTCCCAGCAGGCAGCTCAGGGTAGAGGTGTGGGCAGCAGTTTCTGCAAGTGGGAAGAGAAGAAGCAAGACAATCGGGGAAATCTTAGGGGAGACCATCTGAGGGCAAGGAGACAGTGAGTTGTCATTATTTCAACATTTATTGAGTGCCTATTGTGTGCTGATCACCTTCCAATTTGCATGCTATATATACATGATTTATGCTGTTTTCTCTTCCCCTCCACCCCACCTCCCTGTCTCTCCTTCCCTCCTCACTCAAACAGACAATTGTGAAGGCTGGATTACTCAAACAGCTTTATTGAGATGTAATTTACATCCCATCAAGTTCAGCCAGCTAAAATGTCCAATTTAACGGGTTTTAGCACATTCACTAAGTTGTACAACTATCAACATAACTAAATTTTAGAACGGTTTCCTCACCCCAAAGAGAATCCCCATGCCCATTAACAGTTCCTCCCCATGGCAGAGGGAGGGCAGGATTTTGCCAGTTTTGGTCACCTTTGAATCCCAGCCCAGAATGGTGCCTGCCAGAGAGTAGGGACTCAACATTGCCACCCCTAGAAGGTTTATGTTCTAAAAGGCAGAGGCAGATAATACAATAAACTAAATAAGTATGTAAATCATGTGGTCCGTTAGCCATTATCATTAGAATGTAGTCTTTATTTATTAATTATTCAACATATATTTATTGCGAACCTACTATGTGGCCAGGACACGGAGGTGGGCAATAAACAACAAACTGTAGCCCCCATGAAGGTTATATTCTGGTCGGGGTGTGAGATAACAAACTAGATAAAAAAGTGGGCCGGGCACGGTGGCTCACCCCTGTAATCCCAGCACTTTGGGAGGCCGAGGTGGGCAGATCACCTGAGGTCAGGAGTTCGAGACCAGCCTGCCCAACATGGCGAAACAGCCATCTCTACTAAAAATACAAAAATTGGCCGGGTGTGGTGGTGGGCACCTGTAATCCCAGCTACTCAGGAGGCTGAGGCAGGAGAGACACTTGAACCCAGGAGGCAAAGGTTGCAGTGAGCTGAGATCACACCACTTCACTCCAGCCTGGGTGACAAGAGTGAAACTCCGTCTCAAAAAAAGGAAAGAAAGAAAAAAAAAGTGAACTGTATGTTAGTAGTGGGTGATAAGCATGCAGAAGGTGCTCAGTTCATGCCAGGCTTTTAAATTATACTTTTTTTTTTTTTTGAGACGGAGTTTCACTTTTGTTACCCAGGCTGGAGTGCGATGGTGCGATCTCGGCTCACCGCAACCTCCGCCTCCTGGGTTCAAGCAATTCTCCTGCCTCAGCATCCTGAGTAGCTGGGACTACAGGGCGTGCCACCATGCCCAGCTAATTTTTGTATTTTTAGTAGAGACGGGGTTTCACCATGTTGGCCAGGATGGTCTCGATCTCTTGACCTCGTGATCCACCCGCCTCGGCCTCCCAAAGTGTTGGGATTATAGGCGTGAGCCACTGCACCTGGCCCTTAAATTATAATTTAATCTTCATTCATTAATTCAAGAATTTTCTTTTGTGCCAGGCATTGTGCTATGGCAGTAAACAAAACAGACTCAAGACCCTGCCCTTGTGAGGATTACATTCTGGCAGAGAGAAAGAGACAATAACAAGGTAAGGAACAAGGAAGTTGCATGTTTGAAGAGGATGGGCACACAGTAGGTGGTCAATTAGTGTTAGTTATCAGTAGCACAACCCCATTGACTCAGTGAATGCACCTCGGTGTCCTAGGGCTCAGGAAGTGCTCCGCTTAGTGCATCCTAATGGCTGTTGCCACGTCTCCCCTCCGAAAGCCTAGAGCAGCGGCAGTTTGGGGGCAGATGGTGGTTTCGAGGTTTGGTGGAGTTGGAGATCCGGAGGTCGGGTGGGGGTAAGGACCCAAATAGGGATGCGGCTGAGGCGTCCTCAAGCTCTAAGGTATTCCTGGGAATGGTCACTGGCGGCGCTGGCCCAGAAGGAGGGGTGGGGACGGGATGAGGAGAGCAGGAAGCGGAGGACGGAGCTTTGGGGGTCCCCAACGGTTGGGGACAGGAAGAAGACCTGGAGGACTGGGGGAGGGGCGAGGAGGCGGCGGCGCACGTGGAGGGAGAGTTGTGCTCCTGGGGGTCCTGTAGGAGTGTCGGCCATCT